AATATATCCAACCCTTTAAAAATTAAGCTACCATGGTCCGAAACATCTATTAAACAAAAGATGGGTAGGTAAACATACAGTCACTATACTCATAAAAGGCCAGGTCTTAACCCAAAGCAGAATAATTCTAATATTTAGAATTATCCACAGTGCAACAGACGCCCATGCTCATTGGCATCCCATTCATTCTTGAAGCTCTTGGGGCACCATTCAGGGGGTTCTCAGTAAATGCCAAGTGAATTCTAATTTACCTGGGTGTGGAATCTGCTGGTGAATGCAGGTACTTACTCAGCTAAAATTTTCCTCCCAGAGGAAACTAAAAATAATACCCTATGGTTATTGAGCTTCCCCTCCCTGCCAGATATTTTTCTAACAAAAATAAAAATGACACTTTCCAATGCCAAGGCTCTCGGAAGATGATCTTTCTATTACCCCCTGCCACGTATACTTGATCTTTACTACAGATACCAGATTAATAGATTAACTGGAAAAATGTGTCAATCTATCACAATCTGGGCTATGGATTTGGAATCAGAGAGACCCAAGTTCAAATCCCAGCTCTTCCACCCAGTTGCTGTAAGATTTTAGGCAACTTACTTGCCCCTTGTGAGCCTCAGAAACAATATCTACTTCCTGGGGAGTGTATGAGGATGTAATATGATCAGGAATAGAATGTGCAGAGCATAGTACCTCCCAGGCACATAACTGAGCTGCTAGTAATGATTTCAGTTGATTTTAAAGACAACTCATTAGCTGAAAATTAAACTGCAATACTGTACATCAACATAACTGTGAAGTATGGCCCATCATTTTCCACACATCTTTGAAATTTACTTTCTACTGTTTCAGAGAAAGTTTTCATGGGATGGAATCATGCTCGGTCTCATCTGCACTGTATTCCCAAGGTCCAGCCCAATCAATACCTAGACCAAAGCAAACTTGGAGAAAATGTGTGTGTGTACGTGCACTAAAAAGTGTAACAAAGAGCCCAGGCATGGTGGTGCACACCTGTAGTCCCAGCCACTCAGGAGGCTGAGGCAAGAAGATCACTTGAGCCCAGGAGTTCAAGACCAGCCTGGGCAACATAGTGAGACTCCATCCCTTAAAAAGTTTTTTACATTAGCCAGGCATGGTGGCACACACCAGTAGTCCCAGCTACTCGGGAAGCTGATGTGGGAGAATCGCTTGAGCCCAGGAGCTCAAGGCTACAGTCAGCTACGATGATGCCACTGCACTCTAGCCTAGGTGACAGAGTAAGACCCCACCTCTTATATAAAAAAAAAAAAGTATTAACAAAATGAGAGTAGCAATTGCTCCTATTTTAACATTTTTATTTGTATCAAAGTTAAACATGGTTTAAAGAGTTAAACAGTTCTTAAATGTTTCTTATGAAAACTATCAGTCTCCTGTCCCATGTGTCACCAATTTCCTCCTCTTCAATTCTTTTAGCCAATTATTTTAACACCATAGAGCTAAAAGCTAAGTGGCATGATTGTATTGCTAACTTTCAATTTTCTATTTTAGTGTATCAATTTTCCCGGTGGAGAATGAAGAGTTGACCCTCTTTCCTCCTGTCAGCATCACACAAACACACAGACACACACACACATGCACACACACGTACCCCATCCCATACACACATCAACCCTTCCCATCACCCATCCACTAAATACGGTTATATATAATAGTAATTTCGGTTGGATCAATATTTGCTATTATTGTAAGGATGTAAATATTATTCAGAGCTGAACTACACATATTAAATTAATTTTCCTTTCCTGCACAATGTTTTGCTTTCTCTGGAGTGAGTAAGCGCCTTGGTTTTTTTCTGTCTGGGTATTCTATGCACTAATTCAATCCAAAACTATCTACCAGTTTCCTTACTCTCTTCTCAAATAGTTGACACATCATGCATTGTATCAACTTCACCTTCCTGGAGAAAGCCTTTCTAGAACCTTCTCACCTGCTCACATCTTCACTGACCACCAGCTATGCTTATGATCTGACCCCGCCTTCATTCTGGGCATTCCTGTTGCCTCTCTTCTTTGCTGAACCTCCTGTTTCCTGGATCCCACATTTTTTACTTGGTTTACTGCATTTTAGGGAGGCATATCTAGTAACTTCCTGGGAAATAAATTTTTGAGGACCTTGATATCTAAAACTGACTGTTCTACTGACACATTTGATTGAAAGTTTGAATGAGTAAGGAATTCTAGGTGGGTTATAATATTTCCTCAGAATTCTTAAGGTCATGCTCATTGACTTGTAGCTTTCAGTATCGCTGCTGAGAAGTCTGAGGCTCAAATTCCAGGTTCTGGCTGGGCATGGTGGCTCATGCCTATAATCCTAGCACTCTGGGAGACTGAGGCAGGAGGATCCCTTGAGCCCAGGAGTTGGAGATTGCAGTGAGCTACGATGACACCACTGCACTCTAGCCTGGGCAACAGAGTGAGACTCTGTCTCAAAAAAGCAAACAAACAAACAAAAACAGGTTCCTTAACTTTGACCCGCTTGTTATTTTGGTTTTTGCCTATGTATAATTTCTCCCTTAGTGTTCTGAAGTTTCACAATGACAGTTCCTCAGTGTGGGTATATTTTGTTCTACCGTGCTGGGAATTCGGTATGTCCTTTCAATGTATGGATTTACGCTCCTGAGTTCTGGAAAAATGTTTTAAAGGATTTTGCTGCTGGGTTCCTTTCCCCCATTTTCCCTGTTCTCTCTCTAGCTTTCTTATTATGTGCATAATGGACCTCCTAGACTGGTCCTCTAATTTTCTTCCCTTATTCTATTTTTCACCTTTTTGCCTTTTGCTCTATTCTGAGAAATTTCTTCAATTCTGCCTTCTTATTCGTCCATAGAATTTTTCACTTCTGCTGTCACATTTTTAATCTCCAAAAGCTCTTTGTTTTTCTGTATATTCCTTTTTTCAATAACATCATGTACTTTTTCATGGTTGCAAATTTCTTTCTTTACCTCTCCGAAGATAGGAATGATGACTTCTTTATAATTTTTCTCTTCTTGATATTTATTTATTTTAACTCACATTATTCTGTTTGTTTTGGGCTCTTTCGTGTTACAGTGTTGAAATATCCTTAACAGCTCACACCTCAAAGTGGGAAACAACTGCTACAACAAAACCAGAGTGGAGGCTGAGGGCACAGGGGAGGCCTGGCTGTCACACCCACACCAGGATGAGCCATTGGTCCACTTCCACAGAAAAGCTCCTTGGCTTGGTCAGATCCTCCAGAGAAGACACTTCCCATGCTGTCTGGAGAGTAGGGCCTTTCTGCCAGTATACTGGAGGGGGACACGAAGTATGGGAATGTTATTCGTTCACTCAGTTGTGTCTACGTCCCCTATTACAGAGACTCTCTGTCATCTCCAGAAGATAAGTACATCCAGACATCCACTAAGGCTTGGGAGGAGACTGGGAGATGTAACTGCTTCCCAAACAGCTCTCAACCAACACAGATAATTTTAGCCTCCTTTCACTCCAGCTTTCAGAAATATGTCACCACCGGTTCCTGGGACTTTGAGAAATTCTATCACGTCAACAGGCTTGTTCCTCACATCTGCTAAATCTATTACCGCATAGTAGATTCTGCTTCTAGCTTCCAAAATATTGTTGCTGCTGTCTCCACTCTTGCTTTCTATATCCTTGTGGGTCAATGCACTTTTAAAAAAAAAATCTCTTTCCTGTTATTTTAATGCAGTCTGTGGTGGAAACAAAATCAAGTGCCTATCTTCAATCCATGATCATCATTTGAAACAGAAGTTCCTTTTTTATGCATTTTCATGCATTTTTTGAAGTTTCTACAATAACTGTATTACTTGGTAATATGAATATAAATATATCTGGTAAAACAATCTAACGAAGTGACACTTTGAATATACAAAGGTAATAAGGCTGACTTTCTCCCCTTCGGGATTTCCTCCAGATACCCATTTATCTACATCTAAATAATAAGAAAGCTGAAATATTAAGGGAAATTTTCTTTTGTACAATGACCATTGTTCATAATAATAACCTTGAAACACGGCCACATCCTAGGGAGTCTTCTAAATCATTCCCTTTCGATATAATTATAACAGATGCTATCTTTCATATGACTATTTCTGAACCTTAAATTATCTTCTGTGAAGAGACCCTGGGGAATGGGAGCAAATCAAATCACTACTGGAGAATTTCCTGAAAAGCTACCAAAAATAAACAAGCACGTGTGCACACACATCCTGCTCCGCAGAGGCCACTGCAGGTCAAAGAGCTGACGCAAGTTCCAGTGAGTTTGGCTCAGCTCATTGATATCCCACTAAAGCATCCCTCTTTAAGTATAATAATTCATTGTAAAATCTCCAAAATAAGAGTCTTTTAAGAAATAGCAATATGCTAGAAATGAGAACTCTACTTCAGAGTGGGCTCTTTCTCCCATACACTAGCGGAACACCACCTCGGGCAGTTGGCCCACGCTACTCTGACTGGGAGTTAGCTGTGGGCCTGATTTACCCCCGACACCAGGCTGTGAGCTTGCTTCTCCGGGGGAGAGTCAATGTCTGGTTATGTTTATATTTTCACATTCCTCTACAATACTGCCATACACAAAACAGGGTAAAATTAAATGCCCTTCCATTTCATGTAAAGGAATATAGCCACCTTCTTTTTCGACATGCTCACTAATAACAGCATCGGGTCATAAGGAAGGAAAATAAAAAGAGAAAGGAGAAAAAGGAAGGAAGAGGTCAAGAGTGTCAAAGGCTTTTGAAGATTCAAAGGGAGAGAGTAGAAACATGCCACTGGATTTGGAAACAGAAATCCAAGCAAATCAGAAATAAGAAAAAGGTGCCAGATGTCATTATTAATTATTTAACATTACTCTGGAATTACTAGATGGTACAATGAAATAAGAAGTATTAAAATTATACGGGAGGAAATAAAATTGTCATTATTTACAGATGTTATCGCGGTCTATCTAGACAACTCAAAATAATCAGCTAAAGGTGGTCGGGGTGTAGGAACGTCGTGCCGGGCTCCTGGCGGCTTCTGTCCGCTCTGCGGCGGGAGGCGCCTTCCCCACAGGACATCAATGCAAGCCTAAATAAGAATAACAATTTCTTCCTCCTAAAGCCATGGCATATCAGTTATACAGAAATACCACTTTGGGAAACAGTCTTCAGGAGAGCCTAGATGAGCTCATACAGTCTCAACAGATCACCCCCCAACTTGCCCTTCAAGTTCTACTTCAGTTTGATAAGGCTATAAATTCAGCACTGGCTCTCAGAGGGTCAGGAACAGAGTCAATTTCAGGGGCTCTCTAAATACATACAGATTCTGCAATAACGTGTGGACTTTCGTATTGAATGATGTTGAATTCAGAGAGGTGACAGAACTTATTAAAGTGGATAAGGTGAAAATTGTAGCCTGTGATGGTAAAAATACTGGCTCCAATACTAAAGAATGAATAGAAAACAATGGCTTTTTTATGCTATCTTCTATTATTATTCATCACTTTTTGAAGAGAAGCATAGAAGAGACTTTTTTTTAATTTATTCTAGCATTGCAGAAATGACTACACTGTGTTATATGAAAATTCCAGTAGAAAGAAGCTTATAACTGTAGCCTCTTACCTTACAGCCTCTTACAGCATGAAAAAAACATAACTTTTTTTTAATGACAAATTAAAACTTGTTGCCTTCCTAAGAATATTCTTTAATAAACTCATTTTAAAACTCAAACAAACAAACAAAAAATAATCAGCTAAAATTTTACTGGGAACTATATAAAAGGTTAGTAAGAAAGCCAGAGACAAAGCTAATCAATTATGTTTTCAATGAAAACATATTAGCCAATGGAAAAAGATACTGGGCAAATAAATAATGACAATGATAATAATAATAATAAAAGTAATTGCTCACATGCAGTGAATGCTAACACTCCGTTAGGCACTGTGCTGTACATTTTACCCTATCTCATTCAATCCTCACAATATCCCGAGGAGGTTGTGACTCTCAATATCTCCACTTCATAAATGAGGAAACTAGGGCTGAAAGAATATCAACGATTTGCCCACGTTGCGGAGCAGCAGGTGAAGGTGCTGTGTTCCCCGGCGAGCCACACCCCAGCTGATTCCAGAACCCAAATGTGCAACAAGGAGTACATTTAGTGAGAAGAGAAAATTATAAAGTGTAAAAAGGACATCTAAAAAACTCTAATAAACATAGCTCTATTGTTCCTTGATAGAAAGATTTAATATTATAAAGATATCAATTCTTCTTAAATTATAAATCCAATGCAAATAAAAAAAAATTCTCTTTCCTTTTTTCCTTTTTTCCTAACTTTTCTCTCTCGTTTTCTTTTTCTCATCCCCTTTTCTTTTGTTCTTTATTTCTATCCTTCTGATAAAACAGTTTATCTGAAACTAGCCAGCGAAACTAGTTTATCTGAAACAGAAGAGATTAGCTAAGGGGTCTTGTCCTACCAAACACTGAAACCTACACTAATGCCACAAACATTGCAGTCGATGCACATGAATACACAGATTAATGGAACAGAACAGGAAAATCAAAAATAGTACCAAGTATTCACAGGACTTACTATTACATATAACGTAAAGGAGCCATTTTTAATGAGATCGGCAAGGATAAAAAAATTCAAAACATTCGATGTTGGAGAAGGTGGAAAGCATTGTTTGACACATGGTTAGTGGGAGCGTAAACCATACAGCTGTTGGGGTGAGCAATGTGCATACATATTATAATAACACCCTCTGACCCAGTAATCTCAGTATTAAGAATTTTTTAAGGAAAGAAGTCGCTAAGTTAACCACAGTATTATTAATTATAGCAAAACACTGGAAATTAGCTAGATGTACAATAATAGAGGAACAGCTCAATAAATGTTGGTACATACTTAAAAGCAACTTATGTACAACCATTTAAAACTATGAAGCATATAAACAACATAAAAAGATGTATCGACAAGCTGATAACAGCTTACACAGTATTATCTTATAAGGAACATCATACATTTATTTACACATTCTATGCAATACATATGTAAAGAGAGAAAAATAACGATAAAGATAACATTTATTGAATACTTACACTGTGCACCGGAAACATGTGAAACACTTTAATTGCATTATCTCATTGTTATCTTCACAACCAATCCTGTGAGGTGGATACTATGAATATCATGGCCCTCTTTTGAATGATGAAAAGAGACTTAGAGAGAGTAGTGACTTTTTCAAGGTCACACAACTAATTAGTGGTGGAGTTAGATCAGAACCCGGGCCATTCCCCACCGTGCTCAGGGGCCCCCAGGTGCACTGGTGCCAGTGATGCTGTCATTGACAGCAGGGCTTGAGAGATGTTGGCTGCTGCTTCATTTTGTTCTGTATTGTTTGAATATTCTACCACGAATATGTGTTATATTTGGAGACAAGGGAACAAAAAGCAAAAAGAAAGCAAGCAAAGGCGACCTTTGCCATGGCAATTTCGACGGGTGGATGGAGATGAACACATCTCTCAGTAAGCTGAAGAGTAAAGAGGAGATGAGAAAAAGGTGGAAAGTATACTGAATGATTGACAAAAAGTGGCAAAAATACCTTCTATAAAATAGTCAATCAATGGTACAAGCACATATTAGCATAACCCTACCAGAGGGTATTTTAGCAATATGTTACCAAAAAATGAAAACAGGCACGTTCTTTTTTTCCCAGAAATCTCATTCCCAGGAACTCATTTAAATCAGATAAGGAGGCAAAGACACACAAGTTACACACAAAGTTACTCAACCCCTCTCAGCCTCAGTTTATCTCTAAAATGGAAATAAAAATACATGCCTCATAGGGTTGTTGAGAGGATTAAATGAGATAAAATAGTGCACAGTGTCCACATTAATAAAAACGCACTAGTTCTTTTCTTTCCCATCACTCACTAATATGTAAAACTTAGAATGAATATATAAACTTTGATCAAAACTCCAGGATAAATCATCTAAATTGGTAATTTCTACATAATTTTGCACTAAGGTATTATGAAACACTAAACTTAGCTTTAAAGTTATTCAGAAATAAACCTATGTTATAATACTTTGACACTTTCTCAATCTCAATTAGCACTAAACTAATTAACAAAACTGTTTGACACACTACAGTGAGTCACATTTTTCTTCCTTCTTCCCTAATCCCTGGTGTGTTGTAAGAGTGATTGAGTATCTAATTACTTCCTAATTGAATGCACATATTATACATTTTTCACTAGTTCAAGCCTAATGCTTCTACTCCAGAAATCAAAGTCAATGAAATTAAGTTGAATTGGGATTCAGGTAACTATTATAATGAGAGAAGTTTTGTATTATGTCTAAATTATAAGTAAATGTGTGTTTTAGCCTTATTTCCTATGGAAATATTTCAGGTACAGAAATGTGCTATAAATGACTAATTTAGATGATTAATAACATTGTTATTCTTATTTACAATCTTTTATTCCTCATTACAGTGATTTTATCGCTGGGACCTACTAAATATAATCATTCTTTAAAAAAAAATATCATTAGAGAACCATTGATTGTACCCATAATAAGAACAAACATTCATATCTGCAAAAAAATGACATGAGTTTTTCTGCAACATAAAGGCTGTTGGAATTTTCACATGCTGCTAACAGAAGGAAAACAAAAATTTTGGAATACCTGGAATATAAACAGTTACATTCATTAAAACTATTTATTTACAAAAAGCTATAAAAATAATACCATAAAAACAGCATTCCAACTCAGTTAACACTTTATAGAACTTATTTCATGAAGTTATTTTTTTCCTTTTTGCGTTATGTAGGGGTAAAGAAACACTGAAGTATGTGTTCTCAGACAACAAAGGTTTATTTGCCTGTTTTTTTTCTGGGTATGGGAAGTAACCATTTGGAATAATTTATTTGAAGACCTCTTCAGGCAAAAGACTAAAGAACTTTTTGAGATCCAATTCAACTCCACACTTCTAAATATTTTCTGTAGACAAGCCCTAAAGACCTTTAAGAGTTTTTAATAAAACTCATAAAAGAATAAGCAATAAGAATTCAAAGCAATAACAACAATAAGAATTCAGATATTTTGAAGGGGTTTTAAGAAGCAATGTAATGGAGAACAGACCCATCTAAAACCAACGTGGTTTTATTGTTTTAATAGCTTATTTATTTTTAGATGTTACCTAGTGGCAAACTTCTTGACTGGAGAAGCCTTCATATTATCTAACTAATATTTCAGATTCTGTCTAAAGTACTGAGCATTATCTATACCATTTCAGCTTTATATCTTATCAAAACAAGTTTTAACTTGAGTGTTTAAGTAAAACTGAAGTAGCCAAAAGAACGAGGCTGACCTACATATGCCAACATAAAAATATCTCAAAGAACTACATTAAATGAAAAAGATGTGTCTGATATATTTTTATTAAAAATATTTTAAAATAGATTGTTTTTCACCCTTGTGAGGGTCATGTCACTGTCTACCGTTCTCTTACATGGTTTCTTCTCTAACCTGCTGAATGTTTATGTCCCACCAAAATTCATATGTTGAAATCCTAATCCTCAAGGTGACGGAGGTAAGGCTTTGAGAGGTAATTAGATCATGTAGGCAGGGCCCTCACGATTAGGATTAGTGATCTGAGACAAAAGAGATCCCAGAAAACCAGCCCCTTCCACTACGTGAGGACACAGTGAGAAGGCACCATTCTACAAACCAAGAAGTGAACCCTTACCAGGCATGGAATCTGCCAGAGTTTTGATCTTGGACTTCTCAGCCTCCAGAACTGTGAGAAATGGATTTCTGTTGTTTAGAAACTACCCAGTGTATGTTATTTTGTTATAGCAGCCCAGATGGAAGACACATAACCCTTTCCCTTCTTCAGGAGATGGCTTTCATCTCTAACAAAAGGGTCCGGGTAAGTTCTTCCACACGACCATGACATAATCCTTTCCTCACTCTCGTGCTATTTAATTTCCATTCTGAGATTTCAGATTCTCTAGGTCTCACCATATGCAAGCAATTTGCTATATATAAGCATCAGGATTATAACTTATACATAATGAGATGAAAATATTAACAAGAAGATAGCTTGTGGGACGTCAGTCATTTTATCATGTTTCCGTACTTCCTTGATAATTGCTAACACCTACCTACATATTGTAGATCTAACACAGATCAATTTTCCAAAGCCCATTTTCAAAAGACTTCTTACATAATAGCTGAGACATTTTAAATCAGATGCCAATAATAGAATGCCAATAACAAAGCATAATACCCCTCCTCCCCAAGGGCAGATATTGCCAATCAATTATATGTCATTCATTCCCACTGTGCTCAGATGTGGATTCAGAATTCTTCTCAGCACTCTCCAGACAGCTAGTATTCAGACAGAGTTTGCAAACAAGTTTGAGTGCTATATGTCACCATGCCTTTTAT